CACCAAATTTTACAAAATTGAATATTTAGGCATAATTTGAGTCGTAAAATCTAAATATGGAAAAAATTTGCCTTCATATTTTTCTACCCTTTTCTTTTTTTCTTTTCTTTTCTTTCTTTCTTTTTTTTTTTTTTTCTTTTTTTTTTTCTTTTTTTACGCTTTAGAAGAAAAAGTCCGATTTTCTGCCAAAATACCTATATTAGAACAATGCTATACATAAATCTAATATATATCCTAAGTAGCGCTTTGAAGACATGAAAAATAGAATATGAACTTCGTCAAGCGGCCCAGTAAATCGCGAAATATGGGAACCATCCCACATTTTTTTTTGCAGTGTACATCCGCTTTCTTACCACTGACGCATTTAAAGAATGAATCGCTCATGAAATAAATTCGAAAATAAAATGCTTACACATCTCAGATGTCTTCTTTAATATTTATATTAAAATTGCTTTTCCTTCATAGGAATGCCCATAAAATGTAATAAATATTCGAAAGTACAAGACCGTAACATGAGTCTGCAGCTTTCCATGACAGTTTGATCAGCTTCAACTATTTTTTATACTTTTCTCTATGATATACTTTCAATGAAATATCTTAAAAAAATATTGCAGTCATTTTAAAAGTAATAGGATATATATCATGCCCATACATATATAATGTTAAGCGCTGCACATGCAGAACATTTTTAAAAATTCTGTTACCAAATATATGATGTTACTTTTCTTCAAAATGAAATCGATATATTCTTAGAATCGATTGTTGAAATGTCCTTTCTTTTTCGCATAGTAAATGTATCTCGTTTATTATTTCCCATTTGCTTTTCTGGTAATTTTTTCTTTTGATGCTACAACTAAGAATGTCTTCAGCAGCTAATGATAGTTTGAAATTCACTGATAACTTTGATTTTGGGTCTGCAAAAATTATTCAAAAATCTTCTCCAGTTTGTGAATAGGATTTTCTCTAAGCTCTAATATTCACAAAGATTTACCTTATTTAGTTAAATACTTTAAGTCCAATCAAGTCCTATCTGACGCTTTTAAAATATTTTAATTTAATTTTCCAATTTTGTTACTATTATTGCCGACAGATGGCGCTACCTTATCATTCGCTTTACTGCTGTAGGGTATAAATACGACCATTTGCTTCCGCTGCTTTCCAGTCTTGAAGATTTCTTTGCTCTTGATGAATAGGACTGTACCTGCTTGCCCTCGAAATTGGTTGAGACACTGACAAAATCTACACCAAATTGAAGGTTCTTGCTTTCATAAGTTCATGTTTCTCTTTGGCGTTTTTCTCATGTGTTTTAACTAAGAACGTTTCTATACTGCTTTTTAAACTGTTGTAAGTTTGCGTTTTTGTAGAGATTAAACATCGCATTTTTATTGTTGTCCCTTATATTTTTAGTATGAAGAATAATATTTTGATTTTTGTTCATTACATTTCAGTATGAAGTTCTTTCATTACATGAAACGTCTTCTAACAACTTAACAGAAATAAAAAGGAAAATAAAAAAGCAAGTGAAAGGTAAATGTTATTGAACGAAATTGTTCATTTTGTAAAGTAGTTATTAATTTTGATTAGCCAGTTATTTTGTGTTACGCATCTTTACTGTTATTTTTCCCATTCTATTTTCCCGTCAGAATACAAATTTTAGCTCGCACGTATTTCTGTGAGGTAGGAAGAAATAGTATTTAGAGGGAAGATTTAGACTCGTTCTTAATTTGAGATTCCTTATTTTTGAGCTTATTTTTTATGCTATTATTGCTAGCTGCTTTTGTAAGTACAAGAACTGCCTTCTGTTCAACTATATTGAGTTCTTAATAAAAGTGTCTTTTACACACTTTTTACGTTTCTGTTGTTTATCTTGACATAGCGATAATTCTCTTAAGTATATTACAGTCTTGATTTTGTGTTTGTTACCTAAAAGAATGAGACTATACAACCTTAGGATACAAAATAAGCAGCTTTGTTTTCTTCGGGGGGGGCAATTGATTACAACAACAAAGCTATCACTCTCTATGCAAATATTCTGAATTGTACGATTCCTTGTAGAAATATGCAAAATACTGCCGTATAAAAGTAGCACATTCAACACAATTAAAGTAGAGTAGATAGTGCAGAGTCCATGTGGGCTGAATAAATTAAATCAGTAATATGTGGCTTCTTGATTTAGAAAGGCATTTTAATGAACCAGAACGCCCACCAAATATTCATACGGTACACAAAATACTGACGTCTTATATCTAGCTTTGAATTTTAATTCTTGTCAACTCGAAAGGTATTCTTAATAACTCTAAATATGATCAAACTATACAGGGTGTCTCGTAAATGTCGCGACAAACATTTGGGGGAGGTAGGACAGATCATAAGGATTAAGAATTGCATAGGAACCCATGCCCATCACTATATGCCGCCAGGGGATGTTACACAGTAGAGTGCTAGTGGAAAGTAAGCATTGCCTCAGTCGAGCGATAGATACCATACAAAGCGAATGGAACGCTGTACGAACGGAGAACTTGCAGACATACACTTAACGCATGGAATAGCTGAGGGTAATTGATGACCCAATGCACGCATTTATCGAGAACGCTTCCCCGACAGATATCAACCACCCCACAGTTTGTTTGCACGTCTTCATCAAAATTTGTGCGACTGCGGGTCATTAAGAAGTGGCAGAACATGTGAGGGCAGGCCAAGATCGACTCTCTCGGAAGAAAGAAGAGAAGAAAATGGAAGAAAGCGTGTTGGATACGGCGGAAAGTAATCCAAGGACCAGCATACGTGCCATTGCGTCTCAGTTACAAATGTCTCGTACCAGTGTCCAGCGTGTGTTGAACGCCGAGTCTTTCCACGTCTTTCGTCTCGAAAGGGATCCGTTACTGCTCCCCGATGACCATCCTGAATATGTGCATTTCGCACAGTGGTTTCGGCAAGAAAATGCCTGTATTGTTAATTTCCCAGCTCACGGATGAGGTCGTATTCAATAGGGATGGCGTATTCAATCACCACAATCAGCATTTGTGGGCTCAAGAAAACCCACACGGTATGCAGCACCACGCTGCGCAATAATGCTTCAAAGTTAATGTCAAGGCGGATTTGGTTGGTGACTGCTTAATGCTGCTTGTGGGGAGCCATCAAAAGTGTCGCGTATCACGATCCTGTTGCGCCTGAAATGTGTCTTTTGGCAAAACTCGCCTGCCCAGCTGCTACAATCAAAGAAATTCCCGGTGTGTTTGAACATGTCTAGCAATCGGTGGTCCGTCGGTGTCTATCATGTTTGGTGTCTGATGGTGCAAACTTCGAGCGTCTGTTGTAACATTCAAGCTGGCGTACACCAATTTGTTTTCAAGTCCAATAAATGTTTAAAATTAATCACTCTCTTGTTTTCTTTCCTATCTTTTACCTCTGCTACCACTTAACACTGCCATTTTTCAAGTATGGGTTCCTATGCGATTCTTAATCCTTATGATGTGCCCTACCTCCCCTACAAGTTTGGTACAACATTTGCAGGACACCCTGTGTATTACTCTGATTTATTACTCAGTCGATTATTTAACTTTGCTACAATAGTATTATTCCCATTTGCTACAATAGCAACTGCCATAGTTATCCATTTATTATTTATATTCTCCATTATTATTTATACACGGCGTCAAAACATATGAGTAAAATAGAAAGCACATGCGCTGTAGAATGCGATGCAGGACATCAAGTTTCATTCTGTAGCGGCAAGGACAAAAAGGTAAGGTTATCAGGTTCTGTGTTCCTCCTTACTTGCTTTGGGAACATTAAATGTCCTGACACGGAACAGGGAACTTACTAAAGCTATGTACAATAAATTTGGGAAGTAGACAATACACACAGGAAGGGTATACGAAACCCTTTATTTTTCTCTCTTTACAATGATTTACGGACTTCGGAATACAGAGACCAACCACTTGTGGTCTGAACGTAAGAATATAAAATTATTAACTAAATTCTAACTAAACTAACTTTGGATTAATAAACAAGTGTCTACTTGAAGATTGGCCGTATATTAACAGAAAGTGCGTATGTAGTACAGAGAACTGTTAACGCTACGATACGTTTAAAATTATCAAGAGGATAATTTTAAACGCCTTGAAGGCAACCAGCAACCGAGTAAAACTACTATGGCAAGCGGCCTGCTTCTAATAGCTCCTTCCTCTCTCTTGCTTGGCAAAAAGCCACAACTTAAGTACTTGGCGTTCGCAAGACAAATTTGCATGAATATGTTAAAGCTTTTAATTCTGGCCGGAAGTAGAAAATAAGAAGTGATAGTAAAGATTTAAAATAAAATAAACGTTAGTAAAACTTAGGATCCTTACAAGGTCACTTCAGTTTGACGGCCTGTCTCATAACAGCTCTTCGACAGAGATATCGTTTTAACTGTATAACAAACACCACACCTATAGAGAAGAGCATCTGAGTAGGATATTTTTTAAAGACCAAAGCTGGCTGAATCAAATCAGGTATTCCAAGCAATAAAAGAAGTAAGAGTACACCGTTACCCTAAAAATATCCTCGAACGTGATCATTTTGGCAGCGTAGACATTCTTGTGTGAGAGGGCATCAAGCTATGTGCATTTACGAAGTGTGACATCATAAGAGAAGGGGCAATTCAGTGTGTTCACATTTGTCCATGTCTATTTTAATGGCAAACGAAAGAAAAAAATATCTTTCAAATTGGCAATAGTATTTAATTTATTTAATATATATCTACAGTAGACGCTCGTTTTTACGAACTCGTAGGGACTACGAAAACAGTTCGTTAAATCGAGAGTTCGTAATTTAGAAAGGCATCGGAAATTGTTAGTATTTCACATTTTAATGTTTTCGAGACAGGTTAGTGATACTATTCCATGCTTTTATTTATGTATTAGGAATTATTTTTAATAGTATTACTACTTAATAAATGATATCCATTCTATTAAACAAACAAGAAATATAAAATATTTGTAAAACGTACCTTTATTAAGTCATTGAGCAACAAAATAATCACTTATCTTTGTCTGTTTTAAAACAACAGATTGTACAATGCAAGACTCCATCTTCTCTATATTTGTTAGCATTTCACAATTATCACTGGCCTCAAAATAATAAGCCTCAAAAAATCGTCTAAGTTCTGACAAGTATTCAGCAGCTTGTTTTAAAGTCGGTCTTGGTGTTACTTCATTTTCTTCTTCTTCTTCTGGATCTGAAAGTCTCTCATTCTCGTTGATTATGCTGCTAATAATATCGTGATCCGATATTTCCTCCGTGCAGATGACATTAGAATCCACATTTAAAAAATCCTCGAATGAAAGTTCTGGCAACTGTGGATTTCTACGGCGAAGTTCATGCATGAGAACCTCATCTTCGTCGTGAGATCTATTGTCATGGATTTCTTCAGTTACGTCTGTTTCTTTAATAAAACCTGCATGTCGAAAGGCTTTAGAAATTGTTTCATCTAAAACATCATTCCATGCACTGATTGATAAATGCATTGCACCAAGAATATCAATCTGATAAGGTTGTTCCCTTTCCAAGCCAAGGATTACTCTTTGCAAGAGCACTGTCTTATATTTTCGCTTGAAACTATTGATTATCCCCTGATCCATTGGCTGTAAAACTGCAGTTGCATTTGGTGGGAGATATTCCACACGGATTGCCTGAAGCCCAGTGACTTCCATGTGTGCAGTACAATTGTCCACGATTAGGAGAACTTTGCGCTTCTCTGCTGAAAAACGGTTATCTAAATCTCTCAACCATTTTTCGTAGATGTTGCCAGTCATCCAGGCCTTATTATTAGCATAATATGCAGCAGGAATCTTCTGAACATTTTTGAAACACCTTGGTTTCAGATATTTTCCAATAAAGAGCAGAGGCAATTTTTGTGACCCAGTCATGTTGGCTGCAATCAAAACTGTAAGTCTCTCTTTAGCTTTATTACCTCCAACACATTTATCTCCTTTGTAAGCTAATGTTCTTTCTGCAAAATCTTAAAAAAACAAAGCCGTTTCGTCCGCATTAAAAACGTCATCTGCAGCGTATTCAGAAAGAAGCAATATCAACTTTTCTTCTTTCCATTCATTTGCTGATGACGTGTCTACTGCTGCACTTTCACCACACACTTTCCGGAAACTCAAACCATTCCGAAATTTAAATTTCTGTAACCAACCATCCGATGCTTTAAAATCTTTGATGTTTAATTTGGAAGCAAAAAAGTGTGCTTGTTCTTTAAGTACATTTCCATCAATTGGAATGTTTAAGCTTCTCATCTTTCGAAACCAAACAAGCAAAGCCCTTTCCAAATTTGGGTGTTTTGATTCTCGAAAATATTTTCGAGAGGAGGGTCCACATTCATCGTTTCCGTTTTTAGCTCCAAAGATCTTCTCTCTTGCCTTTAAAATCGTCGATAAAACTATTTTTAGGAATTCCATATTTCTGAGCAATTTGTGTCTTATTTAATATTTTTTCGTCAACTTCTTTTAAAATCTTCTTTATTTCAACCGCTAAACAAATTCGTTTCTTCATTTGCGACATAGCTCTAAGAATCTTACTTAACAAAAACTGGCCCAATCTCCCTCTCGACTAACGAGACTTCACTGATTGAGAAAATTGTCCAGATCAAATGACTATGACATTACAAAAAGCAACAACTCTCTTTTAGAAGCAACCCAAACCCCTTTAACACGAATGGTCTCACCCCCCACCCAACAACATCAGGCCGATGCTCTTCTGAGAGCCTCCCACAACAAACAACAACAATAAATTTGTCCTAATTCCCCCTCTTCTCCGCCCCCTCCTTCCTTACTGTACTTCTTCGAATGTTTCGCACTTGCTGCCTCAAAATAGTTGGAGATTTTATTTGACCTTCACGCTTCGTCCCAATGAAACACGCAGAAGTATGAAAAGTGAGTTCGCAAAAAAGAGATTTTCCTGATTTGTAGTTCGTAAATAAGAGCGCAAAATTACATTACATCTATGGGAGTGTATTCGGGACCATTCGCTAGTTCGTCAAATCGAGAGTGTTCGTAAAAAAGAGGTTCGTAAAAACGAACGTCTACTGTATATATGCAAAGGAGAATGTTTTGTGGGTTTTGTTTGTTCGCAATTAACTCAGTCACTGCTACAGTTATCGTCACCAAACTTTCTACGAGTCTGTTCTGGAAAAGGTCGACGTCCACTTTTTCCGAAAAAAAAAAATAGCTAAAATCGGAGATATTAATTAAAAATTCTGAAAACGCTTTCACCCTTATTTTTCCGAGCGGCAACATCCCCGCACGACGGAGATAAAAATCTGCTTTATTTCGAAAAGTGTTCCCACTGCTCCCTTACAAATAGCAGAGTTTGTTAATAAAATATTTCTAAGTTTTACGATGAAATAAAAACAGCATTGTTAAACATTAAATACATTAAGACAAATAATCCCCGACAGATATCAACCACTCCGACACCCATCGACAGATATCATAATCGGGAATTAAATACATTGTTCCTGATTACAAAAATTCGTAGGAAGCCATTTCGACTGTTCCCATTTTCGTACGACTTTAATCAGCCGAGATATTAATAATTAAAACTCTGAAAACACTAATTTTCGCACTCATTTTTGCACTCATTTTTCCGAGTGGCAACAGTTTCGCGCTTTGGGGATAAAAATGCTTTATTTCGAAATATGCTGCTACTAATCCCTATCAAATCGTCGAGTTTGTTAATCAAAGATTTGTTGGTTTTACAAAACCTGTTTGTACCTGTTTGTGTATTTGTTTGTTTGTTCACGTTATTGATTTCTGATTAATTTTTTGCCACATTTAATCGAGTAAAATTGAATATAGGTGAAACATTGGAGCTTTTACGACCATTTCTTTAGAAAGACGAAATATCATTAAAAATTACGTGCCATTGTTGCTGATGTAATGAGAGAGAATTAGTTTATTTTTCTATCGAAATTTTTTATGTGGATTCCATATCACCTCAGACTGAGAAATGTATGACTATGAATCTAATTTTTTGTATCTTTCTTAGAGAATTTGTTGTTAGATAAATTACTCTCAATCTGACTTAACACTAGAAGCGCCGTTGGGGTCATTTTGACCTTGTTTTCCAATTTTCCGCGTTTTTTCTTAACATAGAGCTGAGTTTCGAAGCTGATATTTTTTTTACTTTTTCTAAAATGTTTCCAGGTATACTATGCCAATTTATCATATTTCTAAGTTAATTATTTAAATAAATAATCGCAGATATAACTAAAACAGCCAACTGGGGTCATTTTGACCCTCATGAGAAAAACGACATATTTTTAAGTGAATGTTCGTTTTCGAACATTCGAAACGATGACTCAGGGGAGAAAAATAAAATACAGAACGGAGCATATTCTCTCTCCATTGCAATGCCGAGAGGAAGAGGATTGAGTACACAAGAGTGTCTTGCCCTCCTTGAACAGATGATTTGTGGAACAAGAATTGGGGACCACCTGTGTTCAAAGAAACAATGTTACGCAATCGGTTCCGAGAAATAATGCGGTATCTCAGATTCGATGTCGGAAGCACCAGAGCTGATCGTCTCGCCACTAACAAATTTCGCTTCTGAAATATGGTACAAGCTAATGGAAAACTGTTATTTATGCTACAATCCTGCACCAGAAATAACCGTTGAGTAGATTTATCCAGTACATGGCGAATAAACCGGACAAGCTTGGCATCAAATTCTGGCTAGCAACTGATGTAAAATCCAAATATGTTTTGAATGGTTATCCTTATCTGAGGCAAGGATGAAGAACGACAAACTTAATTTACAACTTGGGGAAAGTGTAGTTCTCAAATTACTGTAACCACATCTAACTCCGGACTCAATGTCACAACTGATATTTTTTTTACTTCTGTGAAACTTGCAGATGAACTTTCTGCGAAAAAACCACAATTGTCGGGACGATGCGTCTGAATAAACGAGAATTACCCCCTATTGCTAGTGACACTTTTTCGGCACGATATAAATCTTTTGCACTGAAAAAATGGAAGACAAAACACTCACAATATATAGGTGCAAGAGCAAAAAGAATGTCGTGATTCTGAGCACGATGCACAGTAATGTGTTTGTTGAAGACAGCATAAAGAAAAAACCGAACTCTGTCACTTACTACAACGTACAAATGTGGCGTTGATGTCGCAGATCAGATGGAGGAAATATAGTACAAGTAGTGGAAGTCGCAGGTGGTCTGTACATGTTTTTTACAACGTCCTTGACATTGCTGCACTCACTCAATGCTTGGATTATATTCAAGAATCCTTGGGCATCTCTATTTCCCGTCGATAATTAGTCTTGCACTCGTGGAAGAACTACGAGTTGGTGCACTACGCAACAGATGTCCCCCGATTGCTCAAATACAGGCACTTAACGAAAGAAATGTGCATTTCAAAAGTTGCAAGGGACAAAACAAGACTGTTGTCAGCTGTGGGGATGCCAGAACCAATTTGTGGTAATGTGTTTGCTGTCACTGTCAAGCGTTCATATTGTACCACCTGCGGTAATGTATAACAAACTTTGAAAAACATTGTGTGTTTATTCCCAATTTTATGTTTTTTTTTTTTTTTTTTTTTTTTTTGTAATTTTTTGCATATGTTCTATTTCCACTTTTTGCATTTGTATCTTTGTTTGTTTTTCATAGATTTGTTTTTGTTTTTGTTTTTGTAATCTTACTTGAAAGATATTGTGTGCTAATTTGCACTAATTGCACGAAAAAAAATTCTAAAGTATAAAAAATAAATAAAAACCTCTAAAAACTCTTTTATGTGGTCATTTCAGCATCATTTCAATCATTTACTGTGTTTCTACTTACATTTCTTATGAGGGTCAAATTGACCCCCAATGGCGGTTTTAGGTTAGTCTGAAATTCGGCTGTTCTAGTGTTAACTGGCATTGGTTCACAGTACTTTAACTAAAAAAAACGTCGTTACTAATGGATTGTTTGCAAGCGTTATGCAGAAGCTCATTTGTAAAGTTTCTAATTTCTCGAAATTATTTAGCCGATGCTATATCCTTTAAGACCATTCGACGAACATTATATGAGCATCTATATGAAATTGACCAATTTTATCTTTATGTTTCTCAGAAATTTTATTACATAATATACTTGGATTTGCTTTAGTCACTGAATAGGTACTAATAGGTAAGTCACGAATAGATACCTTTTGTCATCTTCATCTGTCTGATCTCTCTCGAAATAACAGAGATATTCCATATCTGCGCAATATTAAACGAAATTTTATTGCCTAATATAAAACAGTTCTCTAAAATAAAGCCAAGCGGCTTGTATTTTAGTCAACTTAATCTGTTACTTGGAGACAATTTTTAGTCCTTTGGCAATTCTTAAACATTTGAAGGTAAAAACGCGTGAGATGGCCTTTCGTTCAAGCGACCACAACAGCCCAAAACGGCCGATATTGCATGTTGTTTTCTCCCCTTCCCTTCAGGTATGCAACAGCAGGTGAAGTTTCCTAAAAATGCATTGTATCAGTTTATTGCAGACAGCTTGTCCTAAAAGGATTCATTTGTGGTTTCTTATCTTCAGGTTGCGCGTAACATTTGAAATCTTCACTTCTCTTTATGAGTTAATGGACAGGCAACGGAGGGAATTGCTACGAGAGGCTCTCGAGAGGCATTTCGGGCGTTTCGGTATCTTAAGTATACAACTTAGCGAAGGTTTCGGATTTTTAAAGATTAAAATTTAATTTGACCTTATTTTGGAGAATTTAATTCAGTTTGAAAATATTCGTCCTAAATGTTGACCACAATAAGCGACGTATTTTTCATGTTTCCGTGCACAAATGGGCAGGACTTTGTAACTCAATAACAGTATACGGATGGTAACGTTAATTGCAATCATACCAAGTGACGTCTACTGTGCCACAATCACTGCAACATATTCTTTCCCCAAACCTGTTTTATCAGAGGTGTTGTTAAACTTCAGCTTCTCTTTGTTAATGACGTTGTCAGGCCTGATCAAAGAACAGAGGCATCTATCTAATAGGCATTGATGGATGATCCATAACATATAGTTAGATGCATCTATCGGAACACGACAATATTTGGTGGGTGAAATGACTGCTGAGCAACTAGTTCTCCTGACCCACATCTATCTGAATGTGAACAGAACTCTCTGCACAGCCACGTTGCATTAAGTGTTCCGTTAAAAAGCATTAACATTTCGTAAGAGGCCGAGGGTTCATACCCTTGTAAGGTATAATTTAATTTTATAAAAGTTATTTTAATTTAACTGTGCTTTCCTATCGTTCCTCGTTTCCCTTTACAACTCAATACCAAAGTGCGTTTTTAGGATCGCGTTGAATGCAAATGAATAAGAAGTAGTATTTAAGGAAGGTTCAACTTACTTCGTAAGTCTCTAAAAACTGTTACGTTTCCGTCGTATATTACGTGCCTT